AGCCAGTGTAAGTACACACATATACATATATTAATATGGAGATAAATTAAATAATAAATTTGTTTGTGACAGGTTTTTCTTGGGAAACCCTGCAGATTATGCATGGGGTAGAGAAGGTTTAGACACAATTGTTAGTCAGTTATTAAATCATATGGATGTTAGTGGTCCACCTCCTCTTAATGAAGAAAAAATAAAGGAAATCCCTGTCACTGAAATCGGTCAAGAACAAGTTGGTAAGTTTAAAATAAAAATATTTCTTTAGTTATTAGGATAACATAATAAAAAAAAAATTTATTTTAATTAAATTGCTTTTATTGTGTTTTTTTTTTTAGATAGTAAATTGCAGTGTTCAGTGTGCTGGGAAGATTTTAAGATTGGAGAATCCGTTCGTAAATTAGAATGTGAACATTTCTATCATGAATCGTGCATTGTACCTTGGTTAGAATTGGTAAGGAAAAAAATATTTCAAATTAAATCTCCTTACCCCCAACTTGAAATTTTTTTTTTTTACCAATAATTATTCATATATATATTTTCAGCACGGAACTTGTCCAATATGTCGTAAAAGTTTATTAAGCGACGAAGAAGCAGAAAAAAATTCTGCAAGTACAAGCAACAATAGTAGTACATCGAATTTAGCTGCAATGTTTCAAGCCGTTCGCCGTAGATCGTCAAATATTCATCCGGGAAATTCATCATCCGTAGCAAGCACATCAAATACGAATAATGCAAACGGACGGCAACCATCTTCTAGTGATTTTCAAATGGATTTGGAATATGATTAACTTTTTAGAAAAAAAACAAACAAACAAACGAAAATAATATTCTTTAAATTATTTTGTTTTTTTTTTAATTATTTTAAACCGATGTAGACTTATTTCTTAATTTTTTGCTCTTTAAAAAAAAAAAAAAAGAAAAAAAAGAAAAAAAAGAAAATTTTGAAAGGCTAGTTTTTTTTTTTTTTTTTTCTATCAAAAATAAATCATATTCCACTCCTTTGTTTTGTTTTTATTAAAAAAAAAAAAAATTATTTAATTTCATTTTATTCAAAAGGAATAAGCGAGCATTTGAAAAAAAAAAAAAAAAAAAAAAAAAAAAAATTTTCCCCCTTATTTAATTAAAGGCCCCCAGCATTTTTTTTTTTTTTTTTTTAATATTATTATTCTTCATTGTGATATTTTATCATTTGTTTTTTTTTTTTTTTTAAATATTAAGGACTGGAAAAAAATTAATAATAATTATAATAATGGTATGTTTTTTTTTTGCAATGAAATATCCACTCTCAAATAATAATTAATAAATTTATTAATCATCATGAGTACTAATAAATAATCCATCTTTGAGTAGTAATAAAAATGGATTCTTCTTATATTTTAACAATAAATGAATTTAGTGGTAAGATGATATTTAAATGTATAATAATAATAATAATAATAATAAAAATATATTAAATATTTAATGCACGAATTACCAAAAAATTAAATAAAAAAATTAGTTATTTAGATTTCCGTGGTGAAATTTTATTTATTTATAATTATTCCGATGCTGCTGATAATAATAATTAATTATATTTTCCAAATTATTATAAAAAAAAACGGGGAAAATTAAATAATATTAATTAAATGTTTTTTAGAATAATTAATTGCTGAAAAAAAAAAAAAAACTAAATGGTGTTTTATTATATAATAAAATTTATTAATATTATTAATTATTAAAAATTTATTTTTTTCCGGTAATATTATCATTATTCCATTTAGAAATTTTTTTATTTATGGACAAATATACCATCTTGCCACATTCATTTAAAAAAAAAAAAAAATTTTTAAATAATTAATAAGAGCAGAAACGCAAATGGTTTAAATTTAATAATAAAAAAAAATAGCTTATGTATGTGTATGTATAAATTTATTTAACATAAATTAATTTAAAATATTGTATTAATAATAAAATAAATAAATAATAATAATAAAGTTGATTTTATTAGACGTGTAATTTTAAAATTGGGAAAAATTTTTTTTGTTTTCCTCGTCCTTCTTTACAAAAAAAATTTTTTTCGATTTAATCAAATTTCTTTAAAATCGTTTAATTATTCGATAAAAAAAAAAAAAAAAAAAAAAAAAAAAGTTTATCGTCGAAAAGTCCAAGGTCTATTTTGATAATACGTAAAACGCTTTTATATTATTATTATTATTATTTCTTTTATTATAATTTTATTTCTTTGAAAAATCAATGATGAAAAAAAAAATTACAACGCCATTGTAAAAAATTCATTTTTTTTTTTTTTTTAATTTTAAATTATTTATTTAAAATTTTTTTTTTTGTCTAATTTAATCGAATTTTCTAGAACGTTTTTTTATCACCACGACGTTGTTGGAGCATGGCCAGAGCAATGTTTACTTTTGGCAACATCGGCAATAATTTTTTTTTTTATCATTTAAAATTATTATAATTTGTTTAAATAAGCTAAATATAAAGTTTTTATTTAAAAAAAAAAAAATTTATTTTTTCAAAATTATTTATTATTAAAGCATATACGGCAGAGTTTTTTAACAAAAATTTTATTTTTAAGGCCGACATCTTTCCAGAAACCTCGGATACAAGCAAACTTCTCGTATGTGGTATCTGTTGAGGAGCCAACACATGAATCTTTCCAATCCTAGACCGTAACCGCCGTGTGGACACGAACCATATTTTCTCTATAATAAATCAAGATAATAATATTAATATTTACTGTTTTTTGATTTTAAATAAATTTTTTTTTTATAAATAACGGGAACACGAACCTGATCGATGTACCAATAATACGGTTCAGGATTAATGTTATTACGAACGAAACCGTCGATTAATTCCTTTTCATCCCAAGAACGCATCGATCCACCAATTATTTCTCCTACTCCAGGAAGAAGTACGTCTACGGATTCAGTTAGGTTGGAATCTTCGGCGCATCTCGCCATGTAAAAGGATTTAATATTAACGGGAAAACGGCACAACATTATCGGTTCGTTTATTTGATCCGTCATTTTTCTTTCCGGCATTTCGGGTATGTCCTCTCCGAATTCGTAAAAACTTCCATCTTCCTTAGTTATATTGTTTTCTTTCAAGTATTTGATAGCGTCCGCGTAGTCCATTCGTTTGAACGGTTTTTTAGGCGGTTTAAAATCCGGATTTAATTCGTACACTAAATGCCCGTGTGAAGATTTCAATACTTTATCTACTACGTCCGTCAATAAATCTTCGACTCTGTTTAAAAATTCTTCGTAATCAATAAATGGACATTCGGCTTCCACGTGGGTGTACCTACGAACATAAACATTAACAACTCTTTTTTTTTTTGAAGAGGAGGAGGAGAGATAGAAAGAGAGATAAAGTTACTCACTCTGCCAAATGTCTTCGAGTCCTACTCTGTTCAGCTCTGTAACTTTGAGCTATGCAAAAAACATCACCCATGGATGCCAAACAAGTTTCGAGATACAATTGGGAGCTTTGAGTCAAGTAGGCTTCCTCACCGAAATAATTTAATTTAAAAAGTGTAGATCCACCTTCGACTTGAGTTTGCACCAAAGTAGGAGGGGTAACTTCATAATAACCACGTTCGGCATAGTGATCACGAAACGCTTGCATAACAACAGAACGCATTTTTAAAACTTTAGCTGTGTTTTCTCCTCTTATCATAATATGCCTATTGTCTAACTGAATATCAATATGCGCCTCTTCATTGAGAATGTTTTCTGCTCCACCCGGAGGTGCCAACCCAATCAATTTCCAATAATCTACGTGTAATTCATGACCACCGGGAGCCTGAAAAATACAAAACAAAAATTAAAAACAAGAACAATAATGTAAGTGAATTTTTGTTAAAATATATATATATTCATAAATGATTTCTTACAGTTTTTCCTTCTGGTAGTTTTTTTAAAGTTCCATACAATAAAACAGTAGATTCAGTAGACAAAATTAGAGCTTCATAAGATTGACATAAAAGGTCATTTAACACACACTGTAAAAAACCAGTTCCATCTCTCAGTGTAATAAAAATTAATGATTTTCCTATAATGAAAAAAATGGATTAAAAACAAAAATTTTATATTTTTAAATCTGATCAAAAAAATTTTCTTACTCTAAACAGAATTCAACAGTTTGATATGTAATTCAAGTGCAGTTTAAATATTACAATATCGCAAATGAAAAAAAATTTTGTTTACCTTGTCTTCTAAGTCTATGAACCCAACCATAAATCTTAACTCTTTTATCACGATACTCAGTGCTGTCTTTTATTCTAATTCTAATTGCAGGCGTAAGAGTTTTATCTTCTTCTAAAACAATTTTTTTGGCTTCCTCCAAATTTTTTACTCTTTTTTCAGCATTTTCAGCTTCTTTTTTATTTTTTTCTGCTTGTTTCATGTTTTCTCTGACCCATATTTTTTGAATTTTTTTTAACTGTGATTTAGCTGCAAGATCGTAAATAATTCCATCTCCTTTTCCATCAACATATATTTTTGGGAAAGGCTCTTTTCCAGCTTTCCTCATTGCTTGAAGAATTGATTTAAATGGTTTCTGCTCTGAACCATCACCAGTTTCGTCAGAACCTCTGGTTTCTGATGTGTAAATTTCGTCTGCTGTAGATAATTAATAAAAATTAATTTTAACATTTCTGATACATCACATATAAAGGATTTATTATACTAAAGTATAGTAACATAAAAAAATTTTTTAAAAATTATAATTAGTTAAATTACTAACCTGAAGTTAAATCTGTCATTATTACTTTATCTAGCTAGCCCCTGAAACATATGGAATAAAAAATTTTATGTAAAATTGATGAAAATGTTTAGTGATTGAAATATGAATCGTTTATTAATAAATTGGTGATGATCAATAAATTACTAAGCTTGCATCATTACCTGCAATACAGTTTTTAAAAAAAGTAATAAATAGAAAGTATCTTTCTGTGTAACCCTAAATTTACAGTAGGAAATAAATGAACAAAGAATGCGGCAGAAATTATTTGTCACATTTTTGTTTTAATTATAAGCCTACAAAGTATTTTTGTTTTAAAATACCTTAAGTATTTCAAGGCAATACTTCATGCCTAAAAAATTAGTGTTCTTTGAAACAATATCAAAACCTTTTATTGTAAATAATTTTTGATATAAAAAATAAAAAAATATCTTCAATCAAATAATGCAATATCTAATTTAACAGAATTACAAAATTTTTTTTAGTTGAATTCCTTATAAAATTTAATAGGTAGTTTCATTAAAATTACTTGGTGTCACGTTGAAAATAAAAAAAATACAACATTTACATTAACTATAAAAAAATAATTTAAAAGATTAAATTGATTCAAAAATAAATTTTAACTTACGTAAAAATAAAAAATTAAAGTAAATTCAAATGTGACACATTCCCCTAATAGAACAAATTATAAAACTACATGTACATAACCTAAAATCGTAAAAGATATACTAATACTGTTGTACCTGCAGTGTTGCCATATTTACTACTATTTAATGCATTTGTTCATTTTCTATTTACACGTTTTCATACAAGATAAAAATGTCGCGTCGTTCTGGTAAAAATTTTCATTAGCCTAACGCGAATTAATTATTTTTGTTTTTTAATGTTTGTAAGTAATATTTTAGTTAAATAATGCATTTAATGGTGAAATTATAAATCTTATTGTTTTTAATTATAATTTTTATGTTATAAATTTTTGTTTATTTACTTTCAAAACCGTTTTGTGTGAAAGTTTACATTTTGAAAATTCATTATTATTTGTATTAAGCTATTTTTCATCAATTTTGATATTATAATGAGAATATTAAGTTCTGTACAAAAATAGTTTTAATGACAACAGTGAAAGCTTTTTTTTTTTTTTTACTTAATTTTAAAATTTTCATTTTTATGTTATTACAGATATTTAACTTCAAATGAGTTCAAGAACCTTTTTGACAAAATGTGTGATCAAACAGAAGTATCTTATTTGGATGAAGATGTTGTTTGGGTTAAAATAGGGCCCATTTGGTGGCCAGGGGTAGTGAAGGATTTGGATAAAAATGAAGAAGGAAAAGAAATTTTGGCTGGTTTGAAAAAAAAACCAATTGCTGTAGTTAAATTTTTTCAAGAAGAAAATTAGTAAGTTTTTATTATACAATCTGTAAGTTACTTATTTGAATTGTCTTTTAATCAGTGGTAAATTTAAATATAAAGTTAACCTTTATAAAAATTTACTCTGGTTTGTGTTTTCTGTATATTAGTAATAAACTAATAATATTTAAAACAATTTGATAACTTCAACTTACTTTTAATATTTTAAATGATGTTATTTAAAATTTTTTTCGATAATGTTTAAATTTCAAAAAATTTTTTAGAAGAAAAAAAATAAACTGTAAATAATATGTTGTTTTCTTTTTTTAGTGAATTTGTTAAGAATTTGGACTGCATTTATCATTATAATTGCAGAAGAAAAGATGAATTTATAAGAAAAGGTTTAGGTAAGTTTATTATTTATTTTAAAAATAAACAATTAAAAGTTTTCATATTATAAATTTTATTTTTTATCATTATTTTAAACTTTGTTTTTAAAAACTTATTGAGAACTCAATGTTTTGCTAGGTAAATTTCGTTCTGGTGCACCTCATATGAAAAAATTTCCATCTGATGTCACTACAGCTGAAAGCCTTACAAAGGGAGATATTAACATAATAAACGATCCTAAATTTGTTCCTGAGAAGAAAGAAAGTTACAGTGAAATTTTTGGGAGTGGGAAAAAGAAAAATAAAAAAGATAACGAATTAAGTTCATGGTCAAGATCGAGAACTTCAATCGATGTTACTCCTTTTCGACCGATAACTCATCAGCGGTTTATTAATAAAGTTTTACATGGCCAAAGTGATCATAAATCGAAAACTCTAATTCAGTCGAGTGCAGCATCTGAAGATAATACCCCAGAGAATCCATATAAATGCCATATTTGTAAATTTGCAAGCTCTAGAGTTAATGTCATTGTTGCTCATCATCGTTTATATCACAGCAGTAAAAATTCAGTAAATTGGACAGATTCAGATAGTAAATTAATCAGAAAGAAACCTATATATAAATCCCGTAAAATTAAAAGCAAAAAATTGTTTGACACATCGAATGATGAGTTTACCGAAGAAGAAATCTCCGATAATAAAAAACCGTTTAAAAGTAAAAATGTTAAAGACAAAACAAAAACTCCGGAAAAAACAAAAGGTTCGACATCTCCTTCTAAAAGAAAAGTCAAGGATGATTCTACGACGGATGCACTTCATTCGAAAAAGCCAAGATTTACTGACGTACTTCTTGCAGATTGGAACGAAGATGAAGAAAACGATAAAAAAGATACAGAAAGTGATAAAAGCTTGCAAAATTCAGAATCGAATATTGAAAAATCTGACGAAACAAAGGAGGAAAAAAATGAAGATGCTTCTCCCTCTGCAGATTCTGCAGAATTAGGGGATACGTTATCGCCAGAAAAAAATCAGACTGAAAAAATGTCATGTTTTGATTTTGATGAAGAGGAAGATGGATTTATTGGAATGAGTAACGCTAACACTTATGGGAGAAAAATACCGCGGGTTATTCCCCTGAAAGATAAAACAGAGTTAGGAGTAGATTTGGAAATAGAGGAACTATTCAAAAAAAAAAATGAATCGGAATTGAATATGACGACAAGTACTGTTGATGAAGAAAGTAAGAGCGGCGAAAAAGATGATGACGATCCAGATTTTCTTGTTGACGATAAAAAAAAAAGTGAAAATGAAGAAAATCCGGTAAGCGTTGGTATTACAAAGCGAAGAAAAAGTAAAACTAAGCAAGAAAAAGAAGAAGCCAAAACGGTAGTAAATCCTGAAGATAGTTTAGCTTTGAGACGGGCTAGAAGGCCGGGAGCCAAAAAATCTTACTTGAATGAAGTAATTGAAAAAATAGACGACGAAAATGATAAAAACGATGTCGACGAAAAAAATAAAAATGATGTCGACGAAAAAGTAGAAAAGGTAGAAAAAGATGAAAAAGATGAAAAGGATGAAAAAGATGAAAAAGATGAAAAAGAAGAAAAAGACGAAAATACTACGGTTGTAAAAATTGATACGGTGAAAGTTGAAACAACAAGTTCTTCATCCCGAAGGAAACAAGATTTTAAAATTCAGACCATGGACAGTGAAAAGGAAGAAATGATTTATTCCGATATGACTAATAATGATCAAAAAATTAAAACTGGTAGTGGTGCAGAAAAAAAAAAAGAAAAATCGTCTAATTCTCGTCAAGGAAATTCGGACGACATATCGGATCAAATTGATACTCTACTAGAAGAGACAAAATTACCCAATCTTCCTACAATTTCAGATTCTTCTAATAAATCAGTTGAAAAACCTGAAGAAAACAATTCTGACCCTGCAAATTTTTCATTTGATTTTGCACAAAATGAACCAGGGGCAAAAAAAAATATTAAATCTAGTAAAGAAGTAAAGTCTATCAGTAGAATGTTTTCGGAGAGTATTCCTAACACCGAACTTAGTGCACAGGATGATTCGCAGAGCGACGCTCAATTGGATTCTACATTAGAAGAAACAACAAAAGATACGTTATCGTTTGAACCAATCAAAAATAAAACTGTTCAAATCGGAAACATAAAATTATCGCAAAGCGGCAATTTTGTATCCAAAAAAGGATCCATAGTTTTGAGTACCTTGCCTAAAACAACTGAATCTTCTGTAAAAGTAATGCCTGTTATAAGGCAAACTAGCACGTCCAAAGATTGCATTGTGTTACCTCATGGGAAAAAATTGGAGGTAAAAGATGATGATCAGTCATCGGATTTAGAAAGATCTCAAAGATTGAAAAATATAAAAACCCTCAAAGTTAAACCGGATTCGATTCCTCAGTCTTTACTTACCACCGGAAAACTAAAAGGTCAAACGATTATTCATCAGAAAAGTGGAAAATATGTTATAGTTACCCAACCGCCTCAATCAGGACGTCCGAGAATCACTCCAGGAAAAGTCCAGCCGGGAAGTAAAGTTGTTATTCTTACGAATCAGTTAGGTGAACAAAAAATTATAACTACCAGTGGATTACAGCAAAGTAAATTTAAAGTGGACGGTCAAAAAATCATAACAGCCTCCGACTCCGCTCTCGATAAAGATGCTATTTCTTCTGCGACTGTTGCGACTACACAGTCGCAAGCCCAGTCTATTATAAAAATGGTACCCGATGGAAAAGGTGGCATAATGAAACAGTTAACAATGTCTCCGAAAAAAGTTTTATTGGGCGGTACCAAAGTTTTAGTTTCAGGATCGGGATCTACTTTCTCTTCGAGTAACGTTCAAAAAATTGCGTTGTCCAGTGGTGGTGGTGGTAACAGAAGTGGAGGAGATTTTCGATTAATAGAAAATTATAAAGGAAGTGGGAAAACCGTTTTGATTCAAGGAAGCTCATCTTCCGGCTCCGGTGTGGTTTTAAAATCGTCTTCTGTTTTGCCTCGTCAGGTTACCAAGGTAATTCAAAATCCACAAGTTATACCTGGCTTGAAGAAAAAACCCAAGATATTGATGCGAGCGTCTTCGAGTCAGGGTGATTGCGTACTTCAATCTGCATCAAATGCAATCGAAGCTCCCACATATGTACTTAAACAAAAGGGAGCAGATGGAAAATTTTCCACGCCTAAAATTGTAAGAACTGAAATTGTAAATCAAGGGAAAGTGACTCCAACGACAAAAAAATTTTTCCTCTCCGGTCAAGGCTCAAGCAAAAAAGGAGAATCCTATATTATTACCACCAACGATGTACCGGGGAAAGTAATAAGAATGTGTCAAAAAGTAAAGGAGGTAGAGCCAACTCAAAAAATCGTACAGAAATCATCCGAGGTTTATACAATAGCTCCAAACAGTGTTCTTTTGCCTTCGCAAGATTCTTCAGAGACCGACGGTGCACAAATCGTTCAATTTCAAGAACATTCAGAGCAACCTGTTTTGCAAACTCAAGTCATTGCTATGCCGGGACCAGTTGGAGCTGATGGGAATCAGACTTACATGTTGGTGTCGGTGGATGAAAATGGTGTTGTTCAAGGCATGGACAATTCAGTTGTTACATACGATACCGCCGGACAGCAAGAGCCTTTATTCGTGAATCCGACATCTACAAATAACGTAATACTTTTAAATCCTCAAAGGAATGAAGATGTACCGCAGGTTTATTCGACTTCGAGTCAAGACATTTTAGCCGAAGCACTAGCAAATACTAACGTTCTCGAAGGAACCATGAGTAACGAAATGGATACCGTTGTACCTTCAATCTTATTACCACCTTCTATTCCCTCGTCTGTGGTACAAGAAACGTCAATAACGTTGCAAAAGCCAATCATGACTCCTTTGGAAATGCCGTCATCGGTCACACCCGATACCTCCGGTTTGGAACCTCCACCACTACCACCAACACCTACCGACGAAGATGTTTTAATGGAAGAAACTGAAATATCGGCAGCCTCCGGGACGACACAAGAACAGCTGATTCAAACTAACAAAAAGGGTAGTACTAATGTAGATTCCGAGGACACTATTCAAGCTTACATGGAATCTGAGGATTTGCAAGAAGTAAATGATAATAATTCCGAATCGACGTTTTCGAAAGAATTGGAAAATTCAAAAATTCTCGGCGAGGAGTTCGAAGAGGAAGACAAACCGGATGGAAATAAAACGGAAAAAAAGGACGGTGAATTTTATGAAACTGATCGTCAGCAAGGCGTGGAATCAGGAGAGTTAAAAGAAATTTCAAAAGAAGATTACATAATTGAAACTTCACAGGATGAACAAAACACCAGCAACTTTCAATCCATGCCTTTGCTCAATGACGAGCCGGACACGTCTGACGACGCACAAGGATCCGAACCCATCGGTGACCAACAGTTCGAAATGCAAAAATTAAAATTCGAATCAGAAAATTTGTCCTCCGTCGGAAGAGAGCAAGAACCGCCGTCGTCGACGAATAACGAAGTGAACAATTCAAAAAATCCCGTTTCCGATTTCGAACAACACGATTCGGAAATATTCAACACGGAAAGTTTCGATAGCGAAATAAAGAACAACAGCAAACAACCCGAAGACAAACTCTTCGAATCCCAGACAAACATAATCGGAGATGAAAAAGATAATCAATCGATGCCGATTATCGCGGATGAAAGCAACAACATCAACGCCGCCATCAACTACGATGTCGATCCCTCGTACACGGATGTCGTTTCGCAAAAGAGTTTTCAGGAAGAAACGGAAGTTACGTCGACGACGGACGAATACGCTAGCAAAGGGATCGCCAATTAATGAATCCCCACGTGGATGTGATGTGGGGGGATACATTAACTATATCGTGACGCTTGGAACGACGTCACGGATGATTTCTGCATGGATAACTGTAAATTTTCTTTTTTTATTGATAAGTACATGAGCACATTTAATTTTAATCAGTACATTTCGTAAAAGCGTTTACTTTGTTCTCACGCGCACGACGACACCACACCTTGAAATGCGTACAGGAACGGATGATTTTAATCATCATTATTATTATCATTATAGTTAGTTAGTTAATCGATCATCGGTAGCATCAATTTGCATCAATTTCAAAGGTTTTTATTTTTTTTATTTTTATTTTTTAATAATCGCATAAATTACAATAAGAAAAAAAAAAAAAAATCGCTCGCCCGCGAAGCAACGGCCTTTTTATCATTATCATGATTGTACTATTATTATTATTATCATTATTATTATTATTATTATTATTATTATTATTATTATTATTATTATTATTATAACTATTACTATCAACTTTATTACATAACGTTTAGAATAGAGACTAAAATTAAGGTCTTTTTTAATAATGAGTTCGTCAACGTTATTTTTCGGTGACTGACCAGTGTGTGTGCGTGCGTGTTTATGTGCATGCGTGTGCGTGCGTGTGTGTGGCATACATATATACATATATATATTTATAATAAGAAACTTGGAACCATTTTTTTTTTTTTAAATTTGTAACATAATCGTACAAATCAATAATAAAAATCGATAATAGATTGATTGCATCCCGAAAAATTAATCCCGATTTTTTTTTTAACTAAGTAATTTTAAATTGAAGGAGGAATAATAATAATAATAATAATAATAATAATAATAATAATAATAATATTTTAAATTTTATTTTCGTAGTTAACGTTTAAAACAAGAAAAAATTTATCTCGTTTTTTTTTTTTTTGACAGCGTAATTATTACCTAATTTTTTTTATTTTTTATTTTATAAGCGTATACGCAACAACGCACGTAAACAAACAAACAAACAAACAGAGAGACAGATGGGAGAAAAAAAAAAAAACAAGAATTTACGTGTACGCAAATAGTTTTGACCCTTTGTCACGTAATCACGTGTCATAAACATTTAAATTTCGAGACCCGGAATAATAATAATATTTTTTAAAAAAATATTTAAATTCCGCCATTTATTTTATTATTATTATTATTACTATTATTATTACTATCGGGAAAAATAATAATTTAAATTACTTTTTTTTTTTTTTTTTTCAAACAAACGAGTGGAGGGAAAAATAACAACAAACAATTTTATTTTAAATGAAACTAAAAAAAAAAAAATTTTATTATTATTATTATTTATATACATATATATATTTATATATCTAAGATTAGAGATTTATTATTATTATTATTGATTAAAGTATAAGTAATAATAATAATAATAATAATAATAATTTTATAAAAACTATGAAATGAGATAATAAAGGAAAAATTATATGCTTGTTTTATAATTAGAAATTTAAAAAAAAAAAAAATATTTGTTTTAGTACCTTTGTAGAGTTATATTTATCATAAATATAAAAAAAAAAAAATAATAATAATAGTAATATTAATAATAATAATAATAATTTTTTATTATAAATAAATAAATAAATTTTGCACGGTATTACGTCGCCATATTGAAAAATTTTCAAATCGAAAAAAAAAAAAAATTGATTTATATTATATATCTCTTTCTCTCTCTCTCTCTCTTTCATTTTACTCTCTCACTCTCTCTCACTCTTTTTATATAACTTTTTTCCATTGCCGTTTAATTTTTAAAAACAAATAGGGAGAGGAAGACGGGGCAGCAGAAAAAAAAATTGAAAAGATCAGGTTTTAGGTTCAAAAAAAAAAGAAAAAAATTATTTCGTAACTTGTTATTCGATAAAAAGATGATTTGAGTTTTACTATTATTATTATTATTATTTAAAATAATAATAATTTTGGTAAAATAATAATAATAATAATAATAATAATCATTTTTTTTGTACTTTTTTATAATCTCATCATCAAAATGTGGGTATATTAAAATTTATAAAAATAAATTTTTTTTTTTGAATAAAAAAAAAAAAAAAAAATTTTTTTTATTGATTTCCTTTTGGAATTTTTTTTTATTACGTTCGTACGTAAATAAACTCGGATGGAACATTCTAGAATAATAAATTTACAACTTCTCCTCATATCTATCTATCCATCTCTCTCTCTCTTTTCAATAATTCTCTACCGTCTTGCGTGTATATACACATAAAACTCTTTACAATCCCAACCTCATTCAATTACATAATAATAATAATAATAATATTTATGAAGTATATTGCGCAATAATATGTTAGTGACCACACATGCTCGTCGTCTGCTACGTTATGCATCATTCATCGTTTAAGATGAAGAAGAAAAAAAATTTTTTTTATTGTTATGAAACGTTCAAAAAAAAATTTTTTTTTCTCTCTCTTTTCCAAAATCTTAAACGCACGTCACAAAAAATTATTATTATTATTATTATTTTTAATCTTAAAATTATTCATCGTAATATGTTACGAAATCCCTCCCTCTCTCCCCTCCTCCTAATCACCCCTTCGTAGGAAAAAAACCGAGAAAAAAAAAGGAAAATGGAAAAATTTTCAAAATCGTTTCTTAACATTTATTATAGGTTTAATACCAAAACCGTTTATGTCCGAAAAAAACTACGTACGAACGTTATATAATTTACAGGTAGCTAAATAGATGTTATATCACATAACAATTTTCTTACCCCACCGATGATGATGATGATGATGATGATAATGATAATGATAATAATAATAATAATAATAATAATAATAATAATAATAATAATAATAATAATAATAATAATAATAATGATAATAATAATAATAATACAACCGAAACAAAAAAAAAAATAAAAAAATTCCATCTCCGTCCACGATTTTTTTTTTTTTTAAAAAAAAATTTTTTATTTTTTTTTCGTTTCGGTTGTATTATTATTATTATTATTATCATTATCATTATTATTATTATTATTATTCGTACGTTTTATTAATAATTAATTAAACGCGTTATTATTATTATTATTTTTACGTAAAACTCGTTACAAAAAAAAAAAGGGTCAAAAGGAAATGACCCGACATCATCAAATCGTACGTGAATTTATTAATTATTATTATTATTATTATTATTATTATTATTATTATTATTATTATTTATTCGGTTGTCGTTTGTCTCTCATTTAAATTTATTTACCCGTAATAAAAATGTATTAAATGCCAATCAATGTCTCGTTAAACGTAATAATAATAATAATGATAATCGATAAGGATAACGAAAAAATAAAAAATTTTTTGTAATTGCGCGCGTTTTTTTTTTAAAATTTTATTACGGGTGTTATTTACTTATTACTTTTAACCGAAGGGTAATAAATAAATAAATATATGTGGAATATTTAAATAATAAATTATTACGTAATAATTTTTTTTTTTTGGATGAAGATGAATCAAAAAATTTTTTTTTGTCGGGTAATAAAAAGACGATAAATTATTATATATTTACATGCATGCATATGTATGAGGATTCAAATGTTGCAAACATTTGAAAAAAAAAAAAAATTTTGTAATGATTATGTTGGATAACATATTTTTTAGTTTCAAATAATAATAATAATAAAAAACGCGTTCGAACGCGTTGTTGTAAACGTTTACAAAAAAAAAAATTACGTAATAAAAACTTTAATAATAATAATAATAATTATGTTATGAAAAAAAAAAGATGGATGATTAACGAACGTGGCAGGAGAGGAACGTGTAGTAGCAGTAGTGAATAATAATAATAATAATCCGTTTCGACACGATAAATAAATTGTTGTATGAAATTTTTATTTTTTTTTTATTAAAAAAATAAAATTTTTAATTTTTTTGTTGTTTCATAACAAAAACAAAAACAACAACAACAACAACCGACAACCAACAACAACACGATATACAATTTCGTGTTAAATGATTTGAATCACGTTTTCTTTTTTCCGGAGGGGTAGGAGAGAAGAGGAGGAGGTGGGAGGTGTAAGGGGAGGAGGGAAGATGGGGAAAGGAAGATTTTGTAAATGATGTTGCATAAATGGTTCAATTGTTGATTGTGGCATGAGTTTTGTTGGCACGAGTGTGTGTGTGTGAGTGAGAGAGAGAGAATGTGTGTGTGAGAGAGAGAGAGAGAGAGAGAGAGATAATGTTTACAAGTGCCAGTAGCAGAAATTACAAACAAATTTTTTTTTTTAAACGTGACTTGATGCAACCAAAACACGCACACGAAAACCCGCGTTTGAACCCGCGGTTTGACCCCACCGGACAAGTTGCGTGTGCGTGTGTGCGTGCGTGTACGCATCTCTTCGTATTTCGAAAATTAATTTTTTTTCTTTCCAACGCGCTCTCCTTCTCATCAAATCGTAAAATTACTTTTTTTTTTTAATCAATGTCAGTCAAACGCCCTGAGGAACGTGTATACAAACGAGTCGTGTCATTTTGGATAATTTCCTTTTTTTTTTTTTAAATTTATTTTTCTCTTTCCTTAATAATAATAATAATAATAATAATAATAATAATAATAATAATAATAATAATAATAAATTAAAAATTGATGTGAGTTTACGTAAATAAAAAAAAAAATTTTCAAGAGATTTAAATGCGACAACGACAACGACAAACGCTCAAAGCGAAATTTTTGTTTCACGGTTAAATTAATGTAATAAATTTTAAATAAAAAAAAAAATTCAGGCACGCCTTAAATTATTATTATTATTATTACTATTACTTCGTGTGCCTTAAATGTAATTTTAAATAATAATTTTCTTAACCACAAACAAACGAATGATGCGTGGATTTTTATTATTATTAATTAAATATTAATAATAATAATAATAATTTTAGTCACGTGTTTGTAAATTTATCATTTCGTAAGATAAACGAATTTAATTTTTTTTTTTTTCGTGTTCCAGTCGATTAATTTACACGATTTACTGGAAAATTTATTATTATTATTATTATATTACCTTCTTGATTATTTTCTTATCGTTTTATTACCACCACGTGTTCTTCTTCCACGTATTTAAATTAATTTTTTTTTTTTTTAATTTTGCAAAAAAAAAAAAAAGTGAAAGCTTGTAAAGTGTTTTTTGCTTTTTTTCGTTTTCATAACTTTTACGTTAATTTTTTTTTTTTTTTTGGCAGATATTTTATTTTCATAACCCACGAACACGTAATCAAAAAAAAAAAAATTTCTTTTTTTTTTTTGGCATTATTAAGAAAAAAATAATTTTTAAGTAAAAAAAAAAAAAAATGAAAACTTTCTCTCTCTCTCTCGGTCGTTACGTAAATAATTTTTTTTTTATGAGTGAAACTAATAAAATTTTTCTTCTTCTGACACGTGATACTTTAATTTTGTTTCTTTTTTTTTGGAGAGAGAGAAATTTTGTTTTTTTTTGTACGAAAGGGTTGAGGGTTTGGGTTGAGGGTTGAGGGGGGTTGAGAAGGATTCGTTGAATATAATAAAAAAAAATAAAAAAATTTTTTTTTTTTTTTTTGATTTTTATACGGTGGCACTCGTATTGTATTTTGTGATTTTTTTGTTGTGTGTTTGTCTTTTTTATATATATATAAATTTTACATTTTTTTTTTGTTAGTTTTTCACTTTTTTTTTTTTTATATAGATTTTAACATTTTGAATCACTCGTAAAATATAAAAACAAATTAGATATTTACAATCGATTCCAAATTTCGTTAAGTTTAACAATTTGAACAAACAAAACCAAACACGAATTTTGCCGAACAAATTGTAAAAACTTTTACAAATCTCGCTTTTTTTTAAAAAAAAAAAAACCATTTAAAACAATCCATCGTCAATATTAAACCTTTCCAAATAAAAAAAAAAAAAAATTAAACATTACATTATAAAAAAATAATAATAATAATTTTTGTCGTAAACGTAAATCGAATACCAATAAACAATTGCTAATTTTTGTCGACTCCTTTTAATAGCAAACGCCGTAAGAAAACAAACAAACGATTTGACATCCTTTCCGATTGTTTTGGTTGTTGTTGTTGTTGTTACATGACGAAAGGAAACATTTTTTTTTTCGTTTTCCGCAACGTGAATGTTTGTTTTTGTTGCTTGTTGTTATTTTTTTTCTTATGTTTTCTCTAACGGCGACACTTTAACATGGTTTGTTTTTGTTTTCCATATAAATAATTGATTATCCCTTTGTCGAATGTTGTTATTGATGTCATCATCATTATCATTTCGATCTAATTAATAAATTTTTCTTTTTTTTTTTTCTTTCAGACAAAGGTAGAATGATTTAAAATGTACGGAGCAGTAATAAATAAAATGGTATGAGAGTTGAAAGTGAATTGAAAAAAAAAATGATTCAAGTGAAAGCAGGATCAACGGAAAAAGAAAAAGGAAAGAGAGAGGAGATCTTTCGAGAGATAGGTTGAAAGAAGAATTTTTGAAAAGATTTTAGTAAGGAGCTCCGTAGGAACCGGATGGAGCTCTTGGTGCTCCGTATGAGGATGATGGATAACCACCGCCCGAAGCATAGGACTGTTGGCTGTATTGAGCTACTTGGATGGCTTGTTGGACTCCTTCGAGATCTAAGCCTACAACACGTCCAGAGGAGTAAGATGGTACACCGTAGCTGGATGATGGAACGCCATAGGAGGAAGATAATCCACCGTGAGAGTGTCCACCTAATGTTATTATTATTATTATTATTAATTTCCGACTTCGATTTCTCTAATTTTTTTTTTTTTTTTTTTTTTTTTTTTTAACTTACCGCCGGAGGAAGCTTCGTCTCTCAAAAGAACTTGTTTGACTTGTTCCAAAAGAGCATAATCAACATTTAGACCTTCGCTGGTTTGTGGTCCTGGAGCGACTTGGTGGTAAGCACCGCCTCCAGATAATCCTCCGAAACCTCCGCTGAAGCCTCCGCTAAATCCTCCTCCAAATCCGCCAGATGGTCGGTTGTAACTGTAACCGCTTGGTGGTTCGGCGATGGCGCAGCCAAACAAAGCTACTACCAGACACTGAAATTAAAAGAAAAAAAAATTATTATTATTATTATCCGTCAACTTCCGGTTTTCTTTTTTTTTTTTTTAAATTATCGATTTTTATTGTCACGTAAGACCTCGATTCATATTAATTAAAAAAAAAATTTCTATTCGTCGTAAATATTCGTCGCGTTTTTTCTTTTCGATTTCGATTTCGAGATTTCGATTGTACGAGAATAAAATATTTATTTACACACGACTGACGTTATTTATAAAAAAAAAAAAAGCTTTCTGCTTCCGTTTGTTTTTAAACAAAAACCAGAAACTACGTTTTTAAGCTAAAAAAAAAAAAAATATCCAAAAAGCTGTTAATCCGTGAGTGATACAAAAAAACTTTTCGAATTTTTTTTTTCTGTCTCCCATCGAATTTTCACGCGATGGAAAAATACGACGATAATAATAATAATAATATCTTCACTCTATCCGATAAGTTAGCGCGGTAAGTTACCTTTTTTTTTAATCTAAGCCACTTTTTTTTTTTTTATAAAAAAATTTTTAAAAATAACAAAAAAAAAATTTTAAAAAAATTTAAAAAATTTTAAAAAAAAATTTTCCCGCGTTTTTTTTTTCCCCGTTGGAAAAATTGAAAATTTTTTTTTTTTTTTGTCTTACCAATGCTGCGGTCCTCATGATGGTAAAACTATAGTTAAGACAAACAAACACTGACTGATGATTATACCATCGGATTCCAATGCTTATATACTAGGTCCGATGTTTATTCCCTTTCTCAGTGGTCAATTTCATCAAGTTACACACGAGACAAGTATTTGGTTCTTTCTTTCACTTCGTCTGTGGGGGGCACATAAATAATTTTTTTTTTTTTTTTCCGTGTTTAGATTATACACACTCGATTCATTATTATTACTTTTTTTTTTTATTTCGATGTTACGGGTATCATTATTATCATCATCATCATCATGTTTTTAATTGGTTTTTTTTTTTTTTTCTCCATATAACTTTTTTCCTTCTTTTCTCCTCTTCCTCCTCCTCCTCCTTCTTCTTCATCTCGTCCTTATTTTCTATTTCACTTCTTTTTTCGGGTAATCCGTTCTCACGTACTTTTTTTTCATTCTTTCTTTTTCTTTTTAATTCTTTACAATTTAATTATCGCCGCCGGGGTTAATATCAATGATTAATGCATTAATACTAGATTTCAATTTGGGAAAAAAAAACGGACGCTATTTTTTCAAAAAAATCTTCATTTTTATTATTTTAACTTCCGGTTTATTTTTTTTTAATCCACCGTGGAAATCTTTGACATAACGATTTTTCAATTTCATTCTTTTTTTTTTTAAATAATAATAATAATAATAAATGAAAACAAAAAAAAATTCAGGGGCGTTTTATTAAAAAAAAAAAAAAAAAAAAAACGTGAAAATTCGAAAACTTATTAGCACATGTAAAAAAAAAAAAAAATGAGTATGAGCAAATTTTTTTTTTTTTTTTTGCTTTCGTTCAGGTTTTTAGGTAACAACAAAATGACCTAGTAAAGATGCTAAATTAATTACAAAATGAAAGTGTTAAATAAATAAATAAATAAATAAAAGTTTAGAAAAAAAATTATTTCATTGTCGTCGTAATTTTTCTTTTTCTTTTTTTTTTTCTTTTGGCTTTTCCTCACGACGAAATGAAATTTTCCTTCAATTTATTACTTAATTAATTAATTAATTAACATATATTATAATTAAATAGAAAAAAATATCATTATTATCATTATTATTATTATTAATAACTTTTTCGTATTTTATTTCTCACGCATAATTCTATTGTATTCTCATTATTTTTTCTTCGAATTAATAAATAAATTAATTATTTAATGTAATCTTTATGTTTTTATCAAAATAATAATAATAATATGTATACGTAAGGCTAAATAAAAAAAATGGCCCCGTTTCTCAAACGGAAGGGGCGGGGGGAAAGGGGAGGGAAGGGAGAGAAAATTTTTTTTTATTATTTTCATTTACTTTTTATTATTTTTTTATGAAAAAAAAAATTTACTTGCAATTATTATTATTATTTTTCTATTTTTTTACTACTCACGCGGGTTTGATTTATGTTTTTTTTTTTAAGTTTATTAAACCTGATAATTTTATTTTTTCTAGAAAAAAAAAGAGAGAGAGAGAGAGAAAGAGAGAGAGAGAGAGATTTACCGCTATTTTATTCTCACGGATTAACAATTTTTTTTTGCTTTTACGCTCTCCATAAAAAAAAAAAAATTTTTTTTTAGTATGGAAAATATTGAAATTTTCAAGTCGTAAAATTTTATTTTAAATTTACATATTACACGACGTTTAATTTTTTTTTTTTATTCGTTTGTTTGTTTGTTTGTCATCGTTTGTACGTTTGTCTTTTTAATTTTTTTTAAAACGTGATTGCGATTATTGTATAAGTCTCAGATTTATATTTTTAGTAAATGAATATTTTTCGACGATTATTTTAAAAGGGTAATAAAAAATTTTTATTACTCAAACTACTTCCCCCCCTCCCCCCTTGTAAATAATAATAATATTATTATTTTATTAAATTTTTAAGTAACGAATGGAAAAAAAAAGTATAAAAAAATTGGTTGTTGTCTCTTTCTAAACTTTGAGCGTAAATAAAAAAATTTTATATAAAACTAGTTTCCTTTTGAAAATGAAGTAATACCGGTATTAAAATAAATAAATAATTAACAACAAACAAACAAGCAAGGGAACAAACAAATTGTATAATCGACAAATCAAACTAGAAAAAAAAAAAGAAGCCACCGCAATTTAATTTTTTTTTTTTGTCGTTTAAACGAAAGGAACGAAATGAATGAAAAATAAAAATGGCTTCCATATTCCAAAAATAAAAAAAAAAATTATTTTTAAATTACTTTCTATTTGCAAAAAAAAAAGAGTAAGTAATAAATTTTATTTTTTATTACTTTTTTTTCCCTTACAGTAATTTTTAATGCATAAAATTATTAAAAATGGCGTGCGAAGTAATTTTTTTTTTATTAATTTTACTTTTTTTTTTATAGTCGTCGAGGAAAAGGAAGAATTAAAGAATACGCTGCAGGGCTCATGGAGGAAGGAGGAGGAGGAGGAGGGGGAACGAGGAAAAGGTCAATCGTTCAATAAAGGTATGTCAAAAGGTGAAACGAAATTTTTTTAAATGATGCACAACAGGAAATGAAAAAAGTAAAAAGTTTTACGTAAAAAATTTTTATAATAAAATGTATGGGTGTATGCATTTTGCGCACTTTTTAATTATTCAACGATTATTTAAAGCCGACGTGGTTGTAGATTAAATTATTGATTGGATCGAACGCGTACGAAGGAAACATTTTATATAAATAAATAATAAATAAAATAATTTTAATATGTTTTACGGGGAGGAGGAGGAGGAGGAGGTGGGGGGGCTGAAAGGGAAGGGAAAAAACATTTTGACCTTTAAAAAAAAAAAAAATTACCATCCCCGGCGGAACAAAGGTCTGACTTTCTCCATGATGTTTTTTTTTTTTTTTTATTTATTTGTGCCGCAAAAAAAATTATCATTAACGCAGGTCTTGGATTTATAATTTTATGACGTCATCAAAATCGATATCCCCCCCCCAAAAAAAAAAAAACATTTTAAATATCGACATTTAAATAAATTTTTTTTTATTTTTTTTAATTTTTTCATCGTACAATTTAGGTCAATAATAATGGGTGTGACACTCATTAAAAAGAGGGGATGATGATGATGATAATGATGATGATGTTAATAAAAAATTATGTACATAAAAAAAAAAAAGAATTTAAATAAAAAAAGAAAAATTTTTGGGAAATTATCCAAAATTTTCTTTTTTTTTCTTTCTTTTCAATAATTCACTTCACGATTTAGGAAAAAATAATAATGATAATAATGATAAAGTTAAACAATGAATAAGTTAAACAATGCTTGAAACAATGATAACCGTTTTTTTTTGGGGGGGCATGAAAAAAAAAACGACGAAATTCAACGAACCGTTAAAAAAAAATCGTTCGTAACAAATATGGCGGAGTCAAAAAAAAAAAAAAACGTATAATAATTTTATAAAATTCATTATGTGGGAAAGCAAAAACGAAACACGGCGTCGGCCATTTTTTTTTTTTTTCGTGAGAAAACTAAAATAATAATAATAATAATAATTTTTTTTTAATTAAAAAATTGATAATTGTACGAGATGAGTTTTTAGTTTTTTTTTTTTTTTCTTCGTGAGCAAAAAAAATTTAAAATAAAAATAAAATAAAAACCGGAAACGGAAACGATTCAACCGGAGATTATTCTTTCGGTAATTTTATACTCATGAGAATTAATAATAATAACAATAATAATAGGAATCGATGAATATGTAGTCACTAGGTTAACATTTTACCACTTCCATTTTTTTTTTTTTTTTTAATTTTCTTTCCACGGTTTTTACTGTTATCATCATCATTATTAATACGTGCTTTTTAAAATAATAATAATAATAATAATAATATTCATTCGTTGTGATATTTTCTTTCCATATTAAAACAAATTATTTATTTTTTCTTTTTCTATGATTTGCATTTTCTTTTTTTAAAAAAAAAAATGGAAAATTTGCTTTCTCCTCCCATAAATATAATTTTTTTCTTTTTTTGTCTGACGTTTAATAATTATTATTATTATTAATATTAAATTGGGGATCGTAAAAATAAATAAATAAGTAATAATAATAATAATAATAATAATTACTACTGAGGAATTAATAATAATAATTTTAATTTTAAAAAAATATGTTTAATATCCGGTTCGATTTATTTATTAAACAATGTTTGTTTATAATTTTTTTAATAAAACAAACATAATAAAACATAACGGATCTAAAAATAATTTTTTATTAATTTATTTATTTATTATTGATAAGAGTAGAAGTCCTTATCAAAACGAGAAATTTTACATTGATACGACTCGTAATTTAATTACAAAAAAAAAAAATCGTGTGAAACTTTCACTTGAACAATTTTCATCACCTCGTATAATTTTTTTTTTTTTATTTATTTAAATAATAATAATAATAATAACCATGATGATGATGATAATACTCTTTATCGATGATTTTGATTGCGACGAAAACATTAACGCGTCGATTAATTATTATTATTATTATTTTTTAATTATTTAATTATAAAAACCCCCCCCATTCGTCCATTTTTTTTTTCTACTTTTCAATGCTGTTATTATTAACAATCGTAGAGTAAAATTGATATCGTAAGACAACAACAACAACAACCATTCCGACTTTCTCTTTACGTGTGTGTGTGTGTGTGTGCGCGTGTGTGTTTGTGCGCAACCGTTCGTTTGTACGTACGTTTATATATTTTTTAAAAAAAATTAATTTAGCGGAAGCTGCGTAGATTCACTTTCAAACACATATGAAGAATAAGAATTTCTTTTTTTTATGTCTAGGTTATTTCCGGTCATCTTTAGGTAAAGGAGGACTTAACTAAACTCGTTCGAAAATAATAATAATTATGATAATACTGATGATGAATTTATAAAAAAATTTTTTTGATTCGTTTGCCCGAACGTCTTTTTTTTTTCATTGCATTTGATTTATTATTTAAAGAGTCATTTACCTTGCGCATGTTTAATATTGATAATAAATAATACCTTGC